CATCCCCCAGCCACCCCTCACCCACCCACATCCATGAAACCCCAGCCCCCGCCAACTTACCTTGGACAGTTCCAGGGGCAGCAGGAACACCACAAATACTCTGGCCAAAACCAGTGTGTGTCTTTTGGAGGACTGGCTCGCAAGGCATGGTCTTGAACCATGCCTTGCTCCACACTATTGAGGAGTGGTTTTTTTAGACCCCTGGATATCCAGGGGTCTAATTTTCTCCCTGAGCTGCAAACTTGCAGCACGGGGAACTTTTTTGCTTTGCTGCACTTTCCTCTGGCCCCACCTCAAAGGGGTTTGAGGTGGGGCAAGAGGCACATGCATGCTCATCCGGACATGCCCTAAGTGTCTTTTGTAGACATGCTTTTTGAGAACAAAACCAACACTAACCAACTAAAGAAATCTCCCAACACCATAACCCCAGAAAATCTGACAAAAGCTCCAAGACAAATGCAAAAGGATGTTAAGAGGAGTGCCCAAGATTTTTGGCTGAAACTCTGTGATGATATTAAATAAAACAGCTGATGCAAGTGATAGCTGCAGAATGCAGGAAGGCATTAAATGAGCAATTGGTCCAGTCAAGAAGAAAACAGCTGTGCTGAAAGACTTAAAAAGAAATGTCATCACTGATAAACAAAAACAACCTGAGCATTGGATTGAACACTATGGAATTGTATATTCCAATGAGACTGAAATCAAACATGAAAAGCTTGAAGGATTCCTACAGTTTGAAGTTATGAAGGATATAGACAACAAACTTACATTAGAAGATTTGCAAATAACCATTTAATCAATTCCTGGGAACAAGGCATCTGGTAACTCCTGTTTGCCTGCTGAAATCTATACATGTGCCACCTATGAATTACTTCAAAAGCTTCTTGAAGTTATACTACTCTGTTGGAAAGGGGAAGAAATACCACAAGATTTCAAAGATACTTGGTTAGAACAATTATACAAAAATAAGGGGGATAGAAGTGACTGTGACAACAGTAGAGGTATCTCCCTGCTGAATATTGTCAGAAAAATTGTCACTCAAATCATGCTCCCTAGGCTGCAATCTCTAGATGAAAGAATCTATCCTGAAAGTCAATGCAGTTTTCTCTCATGAGGGTCCACCATTGATAGGATATTTCAGTCAAGCAACTACAAGAGAAGTGTAGAGAAAAATGAATAGCACTGTACATAGCCTTCATTGATCTGACAAAGGCCTTCAACACTTTCAATAGACAGGGTCTTTTTACTATTCTGAGGGAACTGGGTAGTCCCCAAAACTGTTGAACATTATTCGGTCATTACATCAAGGCTTGAAGGACACTTTAATGTTGATGAGTGTCAGTGCTAGCTTGAGTTTGGAGCAGTCACACCTTAAGGTTAAAAACCTTCTCTGACTTCCCCCTACCTGCACAGCTGTGACTTGCCACTAGAGGGCTGGTGATCAGGGGCCCAACTAGGAGTTACAGTTGTGAGTTGCCACTACAAGACTGGTGAGCTAGGACAGGCTTCTACCCCTGCTTTAGGAGAGGTGTGTGGAAGGGGGGTTGTGGGGGCAGGGTGGGAACATGAAACTGGGAGGCAAAGAGTTAATGGGATGGGGGTGGGAGAAGAATTCTGAAATGAAGGAAGTCAGCCACTGAAGGATAAAATAAAAAAAGTAAAAAAAATGAATTTAGAAAGAAATACAGAAGTAAAGTAATGATCTCATGCTTTAGTAAATTGGGATTTGGGGCTGTGTTATGGGTATGCTAGTTATGTTTCCTGAGGTGGCTGGGAGGTGGAAGCAGTGAGGGAAGGCACTTTTTGAGGAGCTACTGTCTCTGGCCTGGGAAGGAAGCACCAGCTTACTTGATCCAGCTCTTACCTTGTTCCACCCCTGCCTTTAGACCCCATTCCTGGACCCATCCATGCCCTGGGACCTGGATACCCAGATCTATGTGCTCTGCATGTGCTCTGCAGGTTGTTTGCATGGAGTTGCACCCCAGGGGTTAGGAAGGTCACACCCCTAGCAGTGGGAAGGGAAGGTAGCTTGGTGCCCGAGCTGCCCCTGGATAGCAGGGTTCTGGGTGTAGAAAATTTGTCCACACAGAACAGGAGGGTGAGGTAGGGGGCACTGAATCTTGGGATGCCAGAGGACTGCAGCTTAGAGGGCTCATTTTTGGGGAGGGGCCACACATTAATGGAACACAAGCTGGGTAACGTTGATTAGAGATAAACCTGCCCTGCAGCGGCATAACTTTAAGCTACCTAAAGTTTGCTTAAAACCAGTTTGAGGTGTTCATGTGTGGACAATCCAGTGTTTGAGAGCTCCAGGAGCCACCTAGAATTAATGTGTAACAAGGCCTTAACTAGGGAGATTAGAGCTACTGCAAATCCACATACTGCTGTGATAATATTTTAAACATGGGCCGTTCATTTCCCCTAAAATATCTGTATTGCCCTAGACAAAAACCCCACAGAACAATATGAATTTGTAAGGTAAGTATTTGAATGTTTGTGTTCACACACATACATGAACAAAAATTCATCCACTGATGGGAAACTAAGAACCAAGGACTAAACACTGATATCAGCTTTATGACACATTATATTTTAACCAACTCCTGAATTCTTTCTATGCAGTAAAGATGAGAGTGAACCTCCTGACTTTTGATAAACCTTGATCTCCCAGTAATTGGCTGCTTTTCTTCTGCTAATTGTGTGTCTGCTATCCCTGAGAATTTCTCTCACCCCCTCTCCTCTGCTGTTTTTCACTATTCTGTGCCTAGTTTTTGTAATTAAGGACCTAAG